CAAGTGCTCCAACAGCAGGCTGTGGGGAAAGCACACACCCTTGTATTTAGGTGGCTGCTCAGCCTTCCCACCTTCTTATAACCCCCTGTGGCCCTGGCTCCTTCAGGATGAAAGACCTTCCATCCCCTATCCACAGAGAAGCAGCTCCCTAGAGGGCACTCCAACAAAACTCCTACTGAAGCTGGGTGGTATGAGCTAACAGAACAAAGACCAATGTTCCCCCTACTTCTAGGATAAGGACGGGCCAGTCACAGGCTGGGAAGCATGAACTGGGAGGCTTCTCTGTGGATCAGAGCCCTACCCCCACCTGCCTGGATTGTGACAGGTGTTTGATGTACAGCTGCCTCCAGATGCTGGTGCTGAGGGGGTCCACTGTCAGGCACTGGGTCAGGCTGCCCAGGAGCTGTAGAAGAGGACACAAGAGAGATTGCTGAGGGTTGGGGCTGATAGAGAGGGAAAACACCCAGAGGCCACCTGGGCAGCACATCCACCCCACAGGTATAGAAATACGATCAAGATTCCTATAAGCTCTGAGAGACGCTATTGGGGGGAAGAGGGGCTCCTGAGCTAGAGACTGAACTAAAAGATTGCTCATTTCTAAGGCACAGGAACCAAAGATGTCCCAGGCCTGAATATGCTACCCTTTAACAATTGTGCTCCTAAAGGCAGGTGTGAGGGAGTAGACAGGTGGCTGTGGGAGTGAACTAAGGAAATACTGGGATACAGGCTCCAAGAAGACAGGACCTTTGTCAGCAGACGGAGCTACCAGAGCTGAACTGGGCAAGTGACAAGCCTGACGCCAGTTCCTCACCTCTTTCTTCATCCCAGACGGACAGTTAGGGGTGGCTCTGGACAGGAAAGAAGGGAAGTAGGTGTGCAGGGTAGATTCCGGCTTTGCTCCAAATGCCAGCACCTTCAGTCGGGGGTAGAGCTTACACAGCTGTTCCTGCAGGCTGCAGAGGGGTGGGAGGAGGTCCAGGCACAGCTGTAAAAGGAGCTATGCCACTGAGCCTTTTGCCTGCCTCACAGCCCACGCCCTGGCTGAGAGGAGAATCATTAAAGACCTTGTGATGACTCTGAATATTTTAAATCAGGACTCCTTGGAAAATCCGTTGAAAGACACAGGCCCTCTCCTTATGGAAACATCCACGTGCTAATCACACGCAAGGGTTATATAATTTGGGGGATTCACTGATTCCTTGAAATCCACCCTTGAATTTCTAGGCTGTGAACCTCAGATCTTGGGCAGCTGGGGGAGAAGAGATGGAAATATAGTGCCTGGGCCTGACCTTGAACTAGGATCCCTTCACAGCAGGGCTGAGCAGGGCAGACCTACCTGGGTGACAAGGAGTTGTTGGGCATATAGGCAAAGTCCAAAAGTGGGAAGAAGTCCTTGGGGCCAATCATGCCAAAGCCCTTGGTGAGGTTGGGATGCATCCTTGAGGGCAGAGGGAGGAAGAAATAGGCTTGTTGGAGACCACTACTCAGGCCAGCTGTTTGGCCACGACCCTAGTTAGGACAATATACAGGAAAAAGGGCATAAACACTACCCCTCCCCCAGCCCTTAATGGTTCCCTCCCTTTCCTTCCTCACCATCACATTTGGAGGTGGGAGGAGCTGTCCTGATTTTCCTCGCATCTATGGAGACCAGGATCACAGCATCCCATTTTGCCGAAACAGCATCCTGTGGACACCCTGGGCCTTCCCCTTGCTGTCCCCCCATTACTCACAGGAGCAGCCGATCCAGGTATGCGATGGCAAAGGGAGACAGAGACTTGATGCCCAGCACAGGCAGCATGATCCCCAGCCACACTACAGAGACAAAGGTCAGGGAGAAGGCTTCAGCCTGTCCACAGGGCACACCAAGGGGAGTGCCCGGGCTCCAAGACCTTCCCTTTCTTCCTCACTTCCTTGTTACCTTTCAGTCCCTCGGTGAGGTTGGCAAAACCTGCTTGTCCCAGGGCCCACATGATGGTCAGGCACTTTGCTGGCCGGTTCTGGTGGGACCTCAGCAGTTCCAGGAACTGAGAAGGGATAGGGGGTTGGGACAAGAGAGATCACCAGGGCAGGGGAGAGTAAGGTGGGAAGAGAGATGTCAACTGGGAGAAAAGGAGTCAGCCAAGTGACAGTGAAGCACTATAGCAGTGTGGTGTACTGATTCCAGCATGGGCTTCACCCATACTTTGCACTTTCTGGTTGGCTAGACCTAGGAAAGCTGCAGAACCCTCTGTGCCAAATCTTCCCACTGTCAGGAAGGGGTTAATAGTGCATTCTCATGCATATCAGAGAGAGCTCACAGCATCATGCACCATTCCTGGTGTTACAGGGTCTCCCTCTATTTCACTACATAGTCCAACAATTAGATTCTGAATGGCCTCCCCAGTCCTGGCCCTGGTGACCCCAACGCCATCCAAAGCTTACCTTGCTCAGATTCATGGTGGCAATCTTGGGCTTGTCTTGTAGAATGGCCTGGATGCAGATGCGGTAACCATGTAATGACTCTCCTGGAGAGACACACGTTTTAAACTGTTTTACTACTTAAAAGCTTCCCAAACCTGAAATCTCCCCTTCTGAGAGCTGTAAACCCAGAAGCTGGGCCCACTGAGTCTTAATCTCCTCCCTTTCCAAAAAGTGTCAAAATCGGCACATTTCTCTGCTGGGCCCCTCTCACCTGGTGTCTTATCGAGTTCCTGCAACATGGTGAACAGACAATGGTCAAAAAAGAGGTCCAGAGACCCTGATGCCTTTGCCAGGAGCCCTCGGATGATCCCACGCAGCTCTCGGCTCACCAGGCTGTAGGGATAATCTGGGGCCCGTTGGCCTCTATGTGAGTACTGGGACCAAATGCCCTGCCAGTCTGAGAATGCTGGTGCCCTCCCTAGAGAACAGTGAGTGGGGGCAGAGGTCCCTGAGGCTGGTGTTCCTCCCTCTCCCAAGGAAGCCCACACACTTGCACAGCCAAGTATGAATCAGGATGGTGGGGGCACTGAGCTCTGTTATGAACAAATAGCCTTTCTAGAATTTTCTTGATTTTGTCTGAGCTAAGGATGTTGGGAAGACTAACCATGAGTATGCTGGCTGAGTGTGGGTTCACTCTGAGGAGCCTGGAGCTTGTAGTTGAGGTAGCTGGCCAGGTCCTTCAACCACACAGAGGGGTTTCCAACGAACACACTCTGGCTCTTGTCCAGTTCCTTCTGCAGAGCTGCCACATCCAGCTGCCAAAGATAAACGCCTCCATGGTGAGTTGGGAGTGAGTGGAAGGAAAAAAGGGTGGTGGTGGGGGGAATGGACAAATGATGTGGTAGTAGGAAGCAATAAGGTTTCTGTTTTTAGCATAAGTATGTAGAATGCCATCATTATGTTCATGCACAAAAAGTGTGGATGAGGACAGCTGAGGATGCTGATCTCATGGCCCTGTGCTCTTAAGCCATAAAGAGGAAAAAAACAAGGACAAGATGGAAAGTGTAAGATTACTGCTTCTGTGGGAGAGGGAACCAGAATCAGCTTCTCTATCCCCTCCCTGGTACACCCTACAGATTTCCCATTTCCCTTCCATTCTTGAATGTAAATATTCCATCTCCTTGGGGTTTTCATCTTTTCCTGAACTCCTCCTAATCAATGGAATCCCAAATCCCACAGGTCTCTAAACTGCCTGTCCCCATCTTCTCTGCTCTTCAAGCCCCTGAATCTTTCTACACCTCATGTCTAGGGATACTCACAGCTCTCATGGCCTCCTCTAGGCTGCGGAAGCGGCCCTGCTTCTGATTTTGGTTGGTGACAGTTGCCACCTTCTTAGGCTGCTTCTTGTTGGCAGGTTTCTTAGGATCCACAGCAGGGGGTGGAACCTGTTCCTTATTTTGCCTCTTCATGATTTTCTCAAAGCCCCGTTCATAAAGGGTGCTTGTGGTCTGGATTGGAGCTGGGCAGAGAAAGAGGGCCACACTTAAGTCCCTAGGACCTCACAGGAACGGTGGTCTCCTCCACCATACCAGCACCTAATTCATCTGCAAGGAGGAGGTTTCCTCAACTCCTCTTGCAGGTTGCTTAGGAGCAGGGCAGGGAGCCCTCCTGGTGGCTGCTTTTGGTCATCACAACGCCAGTCCAGGGCTCTTGAACAGAGGCCAGGCAGTTCTTCATTAGACAAATTAGAGTGTATGGGAACTGGTAAAGGCGCGGATACAGAGGACTGGCCTCTTTGGTGCGTGTTACTAGAGCTCAGGTTTTTTCCTTCTTGGTTCTGAGGTGACAAGTCTATAATCAACAAGTGACAAGTGTTCTCCACCCCTCGGATGCACTCCTGGTGCGTGCTGAGTGTGTGGCGGGTCATTTCTTTCACTAATGGGCCTCCCGACGGTCCCTCCTGGACCTGCTGGTTACTTAAGGGGTGAGGGAGCACAGTGCAGGATCCAGGATGCCTCCGCGGGGAGAGGCCAGCGAAGGCCAGGGCAGCTGGGAGTGTTGTGTGCAGAGACCTGAGGGGCTGAAGACTGAAACCCAGTACCCCTCGACACGGGAACCTGGGCCAGCTGTCGACTCCGCTGGGCCTCAGTTTTCCCATCTGTGCAGTGAAGACAGCCACCTCCCCTTGAGCCATCTGGCAGGGTGGCCTCGGGGGTCGGCCCGCGGGCTCCGGATCCGAGAGCCCGCTAGAGTTTGGTGCCTGGGCTCAGGGAGCTGCCCCTGCGCCCCTGCCCGGTAGGCCGGGGGCGGTGGCGGCGGGCGGGTACTCACGGGTCAGGTCGTATTTCCACACTCCGTTCGCCTCCCCGAGCGCCCGGCGGTCCCCGCCGCCGCCTCGACCACCGCCGCTGGCCGTCGGCCGCCGGCCCTTCTTCACCACCTCCCAGCGCCCCCCACCCGCCGCCCTGGCCGCCATGGCTCCGGCCCTCCGCCTGACCACCTCCCGGCTTTCCGGCCGGCGCGGGCGCGCGCGGTGCCACGTCTGCCGCCGCCGGCGCCGCGAGGCAGCCTGGGACTCGTAGTCCCCACCGGCGCCGCGCCGCACCCCGGCCCTAAGCCGGACGCTGGTCACCCGGGACACCTGGGGCGTGGAGGGCCACCTGCGCTGGCTGAGCTGGAAACGGACTCTTCATTTTTCTTGATTTTTCTAGTGGCACTCGAAGGATGGTATGGAAATATTTCTCACCTGGGGAGAGTTTGAAAATTAAATGCTTTTTTTTTTTTTTCATTCTAGCATTCCTGTGCTAGCGATTAACTTTGGGTTTAATGGGCAAAGTCTGCGGAAGAACAAAGGAGAGCGTGGGCTGGAGGGAGGGGCCGAGTGTGGGGAGGGGGCCCCAGGGGGAGGGGGGGCTGGAAAACTCTCGTGGAAATCCCACCTTTGCTGGGCTCTGGGAAACTGGGTTAGCTAGTGCCAGGGTTCCCCTTCTAGGAAATGAGAACGAGCAGGCTCTAGCTTCCATCACCAGAGCCCATTCCAGGTTACAGATGTGGCAGGAAAGGGAGGACCAGGAGAATAAAAATGTGCTCATTTTGTGTACACCTGTGTTTGAAGATGAGATGCATACCTGCCATGCTGAGGTGGAGTATATATTCTATGATAGACTATACCTTTCAACAGGATACACAACTGAGGGACTCCTTAGGAAGGAGACGGGCACTTGAGATGGGTCCTGAGGAATGGGAGAATTTTCAGGGTTGGAGATCAGGGTAGGTGGAGAGAACACTCCAATTGTGTGAGTCCTTTGTTAATTGGTTTGAGACAGGATCTCACTTTGTTCAAAGCTGACCTTAAACTCCTAGCCTGAAGTGATTCTCCTGCCTCAGCCTTCTGTGTAACTAGGACTATAAGCACCCAGGTGTGCACCACCGTGCCAAGCTAAGTCACTTTATTTATTTTTTAATTTGTTCTAACTAGTTATACATGACAGTAGAATGTATTTTGGCAATTCTACACAAATGGAGTACAATTTCTCCTTCCTCTGGCTGTACATGGTGTAGAGTCACACTGGTAGTGTAATCATACATGTATATAGGGTGATGTCTGTCTCATTCCACCATCCTTCTCATCCCTGCACCCCCTCCCCTCACTGTCACTCCCCTCTACACAATCCAAAATTCCTTCACTCTTCCCCACTCACCCCCACACACCTGATAAGCATCTGCTTATCAGAGAAAACATTTGGCCTTTGTTTTTTTTGGGTTTGGCTTATTTCGCTTAGCATGGTATTCTCCAGCTCCATCCATTTACCTGCAAATGTCATAATTTCATTCTTCTTTAAAGCTGAGTAATATTCCATTGTGTATATGTAACACATTTTCTTTATCCATTCATCTATTGAAGGGCATCTAGGTTGGTTCCATAGTTCTAGTTATTGTGAATTGAGCTACTATAAACATTGATGTGGCTATAGTGTGCTGATTTTAAGTTCTCTGTATAAACCAAGGAGTGGGATAACTGGGTCAAATGGTGGTTCCATTCCGTTCATACTGCTTTCCATAGTGGTTGTATCAATTTGCCATTAAGTCAGTTAATTTAAGCAAAGGCATAGAGGGTAGGAAGCTAGAAGAAAATTCAGTGTGACGATGCTTAATGGGACTTTGGAAGTGATGAGGTTGGAAAGAGACTTGAAGCCATTATGCCAAGGGCTTTCCCTGCTGAATCTGGACTTTATCCTTCAGGTCCTGGGAATCCAGTGGGAAGGTGGCATGCTCTACTGTTTTGGAAAGCAAATGTGGCTGTGTGGAGGGGAAAAGCAGGTGGGAAATGCCCAGCTCTTGAACCTCCTCCCCTGGTTTTGCCTCAAGGGGCTCTGACTTGAAATGCTTTTGTCAAGGAACACAATTGGGCTGATCATTATTAATCAATTCGTTTTTCAGATCAGTGGTTTACCTCTACTTAAAAGACAACAATAATGATGCCCCCTCTTTGTTCAATTCCTTCAGTGAGAAAGAATATCAATGGTCAATCTTATTCAGACACAGGAACCACACCTGGAGGCTAACCATAGACATATTTGTGAGCACTGGCATGGCCTATTTCCAATGTAGAAGACCTTGAGGCTCTCTGTGGGAACACTTCCAGCCAACTCCTTTGTCCCAGATGTGGAAAACTCAAGGTGGGGTGAACCCAGATGGAAGTTATATGAAGGAAGGTGGGGGTGAACTTGGATGGAAAGGAGGACTATAGCCTTAATACTTTACAATGCATAGTGTTTAACATACACGTTGCTCCATGCTCTGCCCAGAACTATGTATAAACTCCTAAGCTGGCACATTAAAATGGATTTTTCTGCTATCAGGCCCTCTTCTGCATCGTGGGAGTCCTAGCTCTTCTGGCTTAAATAAATCTTGCTCCATTTACTCTTCCCTTTGGTGATTGCATGTGGATTTTATTCTTTTTTTGTGTGTGGGGGGTACTGCAGACTAAACTCAGGGGCACCTGACCACTGAGCCACATCCTCAGCCCTGTTTTTTATTTTATTTAGAGACAGGGTCTCACTGACTTGCTTAGCACCTCGCTCTTGCTGGGGTTTGCTTTGAACTCTTGATTCTCCTGTCTCAGCCTCCTGAACTGTTGGAATTATAGGCAAGTGCCCCTGTGCCTGCATTGGAGTTTATTCATGAAAATTTGTGAGACAGGAACCCAGAGGAATATTTTTTGTGTGTATGTCTTGCTGGAGATTGAACACAGGGCCTTGTGCATGCAAGACAAGCACTCTACCAACTGAGCTATATCCCCAGCACCTGCAGAGGAAATTGGTGAAGCGGGAAATCTAGTCTCATCTCAAAACTCCAGTTTCAACAGAAGAGGCCCTATTTGGGGAAGAGAAGCAGAACTGGTTTTCTTTAGATGCAAAGGAGGGGCTGCTCCATGGCAGAAACCTAAGGGTAGGGGAGGGATTTTTTTTTCTATCACTCATCAAAATGTCTGGCAGATTATCTGTTGGAACATGGCACTTAGGGAATAGAATCCATGCCTTTACTTATCCTGCAACATTTCCTTCTGGGTCAGGCCCTGTGCTAGGTGTGGAGCTGTGCGATACACCTCCTGTGCTCATGAGGAACTTGAAGCCTGTATGGGAGACTAACGTATGAACAGAAAATTACATTTACTATCTTAAGTGTCCAGAGGAAAGACACCTTGGTGTGGGGTAGTGGGAGGACCTGGGGAAGCAGTGGCTTTACATTCCTGAGCTCTAGATGTTTGAAGGGCAGCCTCAGACATTACTACAGAGGAGAGCTTGTAGATAGGTCCCGCATGAGGTTTCAATGTCCAGAAGATGTTATGCTAAAGAGGTTAAGTGGTGTTCAGTGTAGGGACAAGAAGAATGAGGTCACTGAGCATCGTTTGCCTGTCACAGTGGTCCATTTTACCTATTGAATATAGCCCCTGCTACTTATTTTAAAAGGAACATGTTTTCTTTTCTTCCTTTCTCTCTCTCCCTCCATAACCTGGGGATGGGGAACAAGATTACCTTGAGTTATCTGTTCTCCAGAAGAACTAGGAGTGACTATTTCCCAAATTAACAAGTGAATTTCAACACACTATCACGGAGCACCTAGGACCCCTTGCCAGGGCACACCTGGATGTAGCCTTGGAAGAGTTTCTTTCTTTCTTTTTAAAGATCTGGAACTTTATTTATTTATTTATTTATTTATTTGCATTACAATTGTTAATATACCTTTATACAATAGTTTATCATATCTCTGATTATATATAAGGTATGTTGACACCAAATTCACATCTTCATACATGTATTTTGTATAATGATGAGGGTCTCCTTTCACCATCCATGCTATTCCCCTTTTCCCTCCCTTTCCCTCCCACCCCTATTCCCTATCTAGAGGCAATCTTCCTCCCTTGCTCTCCCTCCCAACCCCATTTTGAGTCACCCCCCTTATATCAGAGAAGACATTCGGCATTTTTTTTTCTTTTGGGATTTGCTAACTTCACTTAGCATATCTTCTCTAATGCCATCCATTTCCCTGCAAATGCCATGATCTCACAGTTTAGCTATTGTGAATTCGCTGCTATAAACATTGATATGGTTGTGTCCCTGTAATATGCTGTTTTTAGCTCCTTTGGGTATAGTACAAGAAGAGGAATAGCTAGGTCAAATGGTAGTTCCATTCCCAGTTTTCCAAGGAATCTCCATACTGCTTTCCAAATTGACCACATCAATTTGCAGTCCCATCAGCAGTGTATGAGTGTACCTTTTTCCCCATATCCTCGTCAGCACTTGTTGTTGT